TCACTCCAGGCAAAGAGATCAGCATTCTCCCGTAGACAAGCTTTGAGTTTCCTTTTAGCCAGGTCGGGGAGGTCCGTTCCGATCTTTACTCCCCTGGTGGGGTCTTCTCCGAGGGGAACCAACTCGAAGTCGCCGTCCGGGATGGGTTGTGCATGACTTGAGAGCTTGTTATGGACAGCAGAGGAGGTCGACCCTTTATCTTCGACCATAGGCTCCTTCCATTTCTTCCTTTGCTCGATCCTATCCTCCATGGAGAAGCGACTGTCGAGGTCAATGGTCTCGACCCTTGGCATTGGCCTGGATTCTTCGAAGCTGGAGGGCAGCGTGGCTCGAGTGGTTGTTCGAGGCTGAGCATTGATGGAGCTGAGGCCTTTTGCAGAAGCTTCGAAGCATCTCCTGGCTGCTTGGATGTCCCTGTGAAGAGTGGCGACCAAACCTTCGGCCGTGTAGTATTTCATCTTGAGATGAACGGTGGAGGGGACCGCGATGAGCTCGGCGAGAGTCGGTCTCCCGAAGATGCATTGGTAGAGGGACAAGAAATCCACCACCAAGAATTGGGTCTTGATGGCCCTGGCCGTTACCCCCCTCCCAAAGGTGACGATCAACTCGACATACCCCCATGGCTTCGTGCTGGCCCTGTTGAACCCTTGAAGATCAGAGCCCACGTAGGGGGTTAGATGGATCTCATTCAACTGCAGAGTGTTAAACATTTGGGCATACATAATGTCAACCGAACTGCCTTGGTCAACCAAAATGCGACACACGTCGAAGTTAACCATCAGAGCTCTCACGAGTAATGGGATGCTCAAATTCAGTGCTCCTCCCAGTAACTCTTCCCTGTAGAATGTGAGGGTTTGATAACCTCCTTGAGACTTGTCGAGCGTTGCGTCCATCTCGGAGTTGGCCTCCATGAGTTGGTCGAATCTCCTCTTCATTGATCCGACCGTATGTCTGTTGAATCCTCCCCCGGAGATGACCATTGCTGCGGGGAAGGACTCCCAAGGAATGTGGGTGGAGAAGTACAGAGGGACGTCCTCCATGTCCAAAAAGTAGAAGTCTTCCGGCCGAGAGATGCTCAAGGCGACCATAATGGTGTCGAGGTCGGGGGATTTCTACCCTTCTTCGTCATTCTTTGTCTCTGGTGCTTCCTCACGGGCGGACTCCTTCTTCTTGTACTGTTTTAGGTGCCCGTCTTTGATTAATATTTCAATCGCATCCTTGAGATGGATACAATCCTCTGTGTTGTGGTCGTGACTTTTATGGAACCTGCAGTACTTGCTCTTGTCGGTTCCAGGCTTCAACGGTGTTTTTCAGGGGAAGCGCATCCCGGCTTGTTTGAACAATGAATTGGCACATTTAGAAAGAATACGCTCTCTTGAGGTTGTCAGGAGGTGTAGTCGTGAAAACGACCGGCCGACCCCTTGTAGTCTTTAGGATCACGGGACATGTCCTCCCATTTCTTCTCCCTCCGGCGGGATGTCGAGGGCTCATCATTCTTTGAGGGTCTGGCATTCTCCTTGTGCATGGATTCTCAGGCGTTGTTAGTCGCCTCCTTCTCCTCGTATTGTATGTACACCTGGGCCCTCAGGAGAAGGGAATCGAGTGTGGCTGGTGTTTCTATGCCCACAGCCTTGGCAAAGTCGCTGCGGGGACGGAGCCCGCGCTCGAGCAGGTATTTTTTCATGTTGTCCGTTGTCGGGACCTGGACCGCTTCTTTGTTGAAGCGCTCGATGTACGCTCGCATAGATTCATCTATGCCTTGTATAATTGCCTCGAGCGATGCTTCTGATTTATGATGTCGGTGGGAGGCAGTGAAGTGCCTTGAAAACATTTTCTCGAGCTGTTTCTACGAGGTGATGGATTCATCAGGAAAACTTTTGTACCAGGCCATCGCCCCTTTCCTGAGAGTAGTCGGGAATAGCCCACATTTGATGGCACCCCGGACCCCCTTGTAGTCGAGGAGCGCATCGATATTCTCAATATGCTCATCAGGATCCATCGTGTCGTCGTAGGTCCCTAGAGTGGGCTACTTCTCTAGGCCAATGGGAGAGGAGCTTCAATGATCTCGCGGGATAGAGGGCCGCGGGGCTCGTCATCCTCACTGTTGATAGGAGATGGAGAAGGAGAGTGGTAATTTCTCCCCCGTCGGTCGTCGCGGTCCCGTAGAAGGGAGGGGCTCCTTCGCATTTCCTTTGGCTTGGGAGAGGGTAGTCGAGCACGGTCGATCTGCCTGATGTCCTTCCTCTTCTTGAAAAAATGGGGGTCTTGATCTCGGGCAGGGGTGTGCGATTGCGTTTCTTTAATAAAGAAACATCGCGCCTTTCCTTCTTGGGTGGTGATGCACTGAGGGAACTTCATCTCCGGGTCTTTCAGGAGGAGATATCTTGAACGCCTATTTTCCAAGGCTCATATCTTCTGATTTTGTGGAAGGATAAGGGTGTTAGTCTGATTCAGGGCAGCGAGCAGTGTTTCCATGGCCGGATCGGTGTTGACGGGGATAGGTACCGGTTGCAAGATTTCTGGGAGTTCCTCAGCAGGATTCTTGGAACGCCCTTCATCCAAGATATGATCATCGCCACGTCGGGCATTAGCGGAATCAAGGGACGCAGTTTGTCTGTCACGGGGGCCCAGGATGTCCTCAAGTCGAGGGTGTTCCTGGCCTCAAACAGTCTTGCGAACGGGGGAAAGGATGGTCTTTCTGGACAGGTAGAGATCATTAAGGTCGGCCATGATAGGAGAGATGGTTCTTGAAAGTAGAGTTGTTTTGATCTTAAGTTCCGAGGGAAGAAAGACGGGGGAGGTAGATTCCCACAGACGGCGCCACTGATCTTGCAGTTGACCAGAACCTGGAGAGTGGCCGGAGGATGATCTTCAGTCGGACAGAGGAGAGAGGGGTTGTACCTGCATGGTACTCCAACGATCAAGTAAGAATGGGAGTAAGGAGGTACTAGCAGAATATCAAGTAGTGAGTGGTAAAAATGTGATACCTGGCCCTCACAGGTGTGAGGGTTTATATAATTCCCCTGGCGCGTGGTCATTGGTTCCTGATTTTCGGCCTAGATATGCGGGTCCGGAAAATCAGATAACTGCCGGGATTTGGTCAAACCGGGCAGATGTGCTCGTAACTAGCCGTTGGTTCTGGGGAAGAGACTGGTTGCGGGCATCTCTCTGGTCGGCCCCTGGTGGTCTGCACGACGCTGATGTCGGACAGACTGAGGAGATGCTCGATGGGCATCATGGATCGGTGCTGGACCAGAAGGGCAAGAGGGTGATATTGTCCGATAGGTGCGGGCAGTTCGGATTATGGTCAGTGGACAGTATCCATGAGACATCTCAGATTGGACTCAATCAAACTGTCAGACCAGTCCATAATATATATATATATATATATATATATATATATATATATATATATATATATATATATATATATATATATATATATATATATATATATATATATATATATATATATATATATATATATATATATATATATATATTCAAATTAAGATAATATTATCGGAATTTCGTGAAAGACCTCTAAAATGCTTAAGAGTAGTATTCATAAAAGTCAACGTGATTTGGGACAAAATTATAGTCTCTCCCCGGTACATGAATTGTGGATAGAGAGAGATGCTCTTTATTCTATTGTCGTGTTCCACGAGATTCCCAAAATTTATTTTAAACTAACCCCGCGTGGCGCTCATGGCAAATATAATATAGAGAGAAAAAAAAACTAAACTAATTACTCCTTTTTGTGCTTATCATTTCCGCTGCATTCTTATGACCATATGTTATAATATTCTAAATAAATCAATTCGAAACTTTAACACAAAACTACCATCTTAAAACCCAACATAAACATGCCCAAATTAAACCTTATGAATTATCTCTATATAAACAATCATGTAGTTAACTTTAGAAATACACAACACAAACAATCAACAAACGATGAAATCTATTCAACTCCTTTGCTTCCTTTCTCTCTTAGTATTGTTGTTCAACACAAAACCACTACAAGGAGCTGAACCAGAAGCAGTAGTCGACAAACAAGGCAACCCTCTTCAACCAGGTGAAGGTTACTATGTATTCCCACTCTGGGCCGACAATGGAGGCATCACATTGAGTCCAACAAGAAACAGAACATGTCCTCTCGACGTCATTCGCAACCCGGCCGCACTCGGCTCGCCAGTGTACTTCTACGCACCAGGTCTTGATTACATTCCAACTCAAACTGATCTCACTATTGAGATTCCAATCCTGGGAAGTCCTTGCAAAGAGCCAAAAATATGGAAGCTTTCAAAGGAGGGAGCTGGATTCTGGTTTGTGAGCACTGGTGGTGCGGCTGGGAACCTTGTCAATAAGTTCAAGATTGAGAGACTTGAAGGTGAACATGCTTATGAGATTTATAGCTTCAAGTTCTGTCCTTCAGTTCCTGGTGTTCTTTGTGCTCCTGTTGGAACTTTTGAAGATAGCGATGGAACTAAAGTTATGGCTGTTGGTGATGGTATTGATGAACCTTATTATGTTAGGTTTCAAAAAGTTTCCACTTTTGCTCAAGATTTGAGCAGTGTTTAGTTTGATAAGTGGGATATGAAGTAATAAGGCAGAAAAAAAAAGAGTAATGTCTTTGTTTCTAAGGTTTGCCACTTTCTTTTTATTGTCATAAGTGAAATGAAATTTAACCTTTTACTTGCATAAAATTTACCTGTCTCAAATTTGTCTATTTTATATTAATTTTTCCTATGCATTTATTAGTTGTTTCTAGTAATTCTATATTTTTATCAGCTTGTTATTTGAGTATAGTTCTTGTGAAAAACATTAGAGGTAGATATTGATCCTCGACAGCTTTATCCTTATAAAATTATAATAGTTTTTTATTCTTTTGTCTTTATTTGTCTCTTTGCATCATTGATATAGCCGTTACACTCTATTATTGTAGTTATTTTTTTAGTTGTGTCACCCAAATGTCAACATGTCAATAAGATGTCACTTGAATGGATGTCTTTTATATATTTTTCAAATACCTCATTCAGACCATCAGAGAATTAGCATTAAGGGTGTCTGGAGATTCTTCCTTCACCAAGAAATATGGTCGACTTTTCAACTTAGCTACCTCAAACTTCCAAGAAGAAATGATGTGTGTGCTTTTCCAGTTCTTTGATCCTATGCATCATTGCTTCACCTTTCCCGACTACCAATTGGTGTCTATATTAGAAGACTTCTCTCAATTTCTAGGAGTTCTTGTGCTTGATCAAATACCATTCGCCGACTTAGAGGAGACTCCAAAGCCTGAAGTCATTGTCGAAGCCTTGCATTTGAAGAGATCTGACATTATAACGAATTGGGAGACAAGAAGTGGAGTTAAGGGTTTCTTAGCCAAGTTTTTGTTGGAGAAGGCTCGTTTATTTTGGGAGAATGTGGATTTTCAAGCTTTTGAAGATGTCTTGGCCCTTATAATCTATGATTTGGTTCTATTTCCCAATCCGGATCAACTCATAGATGTGAATTCCATCAAAGTTTTTCTCTCTCGCAATCCCGTACCTACCCTGCTTGGAGACATTCTACATTGTTTCCACACTCGCACCATGAAGAAAAGAGGTACTCTTTTGTGTTGCATTCCCTTACTCTCTAGGTGGTTTATTGCGCACCTACCTCGATCAACGTTGAAGAATGAGCAAGGCTTGACATGGTCTCAAAGGATGATGTCACTCGCACATTCTGATATTTCATTGGTGTTCTTGATCCTTGGAGGACATTACTATCATCGACCATTGTGGGGAATTCCCTATTGTCCCTCTGCTTGGCATTAGGGGAGGTATTACCTACAACCCTTGTTTGGCTTTACGACAGTTTGGGTATGCACGAAGAGATGGTCCCCATGATGCACACATCCAAGGTTTGGTATTCGATTACGAGGGCGACGACCAAGGCTATCGTCAAAGGTTCATACGAGCTTGGAGAATGATAAACAAAATGGATAGTAAGACATTAGGACATAAGAATTCCACCCACCTTGAGCCTTACCTTAAGTGGGTACGAACTCATGCTCAAAGTCTCGTGATGCCTTACCCCGCCATCTTACCAATCATCATGGAGCCTGTTGCCGAAGGAGATGTTTTGTATACTGTCCTTTATCCTGATATGCCTACTTCTCTTGAAGACTTGCAAAGAGCTTGGATTCAGCTAAAGGGGGAGGAAGACACCTTTGAAGCCCAGTTTTATGCAAGCGAAAATAAGACATTGGAGCTCACGAGATAACTTTATGAGGAGAGGAGCCTAAATGCCTATATCGCTCCAAAGAGGAAGCATCTATAGGAAATTTGAGCCATTGTTATTGTATTTTAGTTCATTTTGTTTCTTTTGTAAGCCCAAGAGGCATGTTGTAATCAATTTGAGCTTATTAATACAATTAATATTTGTTCCCTTTTGTCTAAACAAATTTAAATCTTCTAAGTCCTTGAAATCATTTGCATACGCATGTTCATGCATCATAACATAAACAGGTTTTCCGCGAAAGGTTTCCTTATCTTTCTACTGTTTATTTCAGTAAGATGGATATCGAACAAACAGTGAAGGATCTTCAAGCACAGAACGCTCAATTCCAACAGATGTTCCTGGATCTGGCTAAAGGACAAGAGGACCTGGAAGCTCTCATGATCAAAGACAGGAAGGAAAATACAAAGAAACCAGTGGGTGTCCTGAATATGGGAAGGAGATTCAGAGAACCAGAAAAGCGAGCTCTAGAATTCGCAACTCCGTCGAATGAGGGGGATAATCAAGAAGAGAAGACAAAAGAAAGGGACCACGGTCTAGGGTCTGATGAAGGAGAGGCTGACTACGGTGAAAAATAATATCCTCATGCTGATAACAAATATAAACAGCTGGAGGATCGTCTCAATGCCATGGAAATTCAGAGAGTACCTGGTCTGGATTTTGAAGAATTAAGGTTGGTTTCTGGAGTGTTCATTCCACCAAAGTTCAAGGTTCCCGTATTTTTTAAATATGACGGAGTTCCATGTCCTAAGCTACATCTAAGGTCTTATGTCAGGAAGATCCAACCTCACACCGCTGATAGGAATTTGTGGGTGCATTTCTTCCAGGAAAGTTTATCGAGGACTCAATTGGAATGGTTCTATCAGCTGGAGGGAACCAATATCCACAACTGGGAGGATCTGGCTGATGCTTTCTATAGGTAGTACCAATACAATGTTGAACTCGCTCCAACCCGTATACAACTTCAAAGCATGTCTATTGGTTCCAGTGAGGGCCTCAAAGATTATGCCCAGAAATGGAGAGATCTTGCAGGAAGAGTCCAGCCTCCTCTATCTGATAGAGAGCTGGTAGATATGTTCTTGGGTACTTTGTCAAGCCCATTCTTCAAACATCTGATCCGGAGCTCTTCAGCTGGGTTCACCGAGATGATATTGACAGGTGAAAGAGTAGAAGCTGGTATCAAGAACGGTAAGATTCAGAGATATGCATCTTCAAGTACAACAAAGAAACCATTCTCTGGGAAGAAAGAAGTAAGTGTTGCCTACGGTCAAAAGAATCAAAGCAAAGTTGCACGCCGTCCAACGAATATAGCTTTAATGATCTTCAACCCTGCATCAACTCAACAACAAAACAATCAGCGCAGGCAGGATGCGCCTAGAATATAGTTCACTCAGCTTATCATATCCTTATATCAGGTTTTGCCACACTTGTTGAAGTCTAATCTGGTCACTCTGAAGGAGCCTCCTCAAAATCCAAACACTACATCTCCTTGTTATAATCTAAATGCTCGATGTGCCTACCACTCCAACAGTCTGGGGCATGATACAAATGATTGTTGGGTTCTGAAGAATAAAGTTCAGGATCTTATTAAGGTAAAGGATATTAAATTTGACCCTCCCGAGACCACTAATGTGATAACTGCACTAATCCCCATGCATGGTCAGAGTGTTAACGTCGTTGATGACGACCTGTTTGTTTCTTCTATTGATGAACTAGCTACTCCTCTTCCGACTGTTAAGAAGAATCTCTTGCAAGCCAGTTTATTTCCGGTTGTGGTGAAGGTCCACCTGTGTACATCTCTACCCAATGATTACTTATTGTTGAAGATAGGTGTCCAACGCCTGATGGACAACAAGGAAATTCTGTTTGAGAAGACTCCCTCTACGAGAAGTCTGTGTGAAGATATATCAATTATTACCATTTCCGACAATCCTCCCAGTGTCTCCTCCAAAAGACTTGTCAGGATTACATCCACCCCTAAGGTTGCTCCTTTATTTATCACCTTTCCAGGGCCAATACAATATTCCTTCGACAAGGTTGTTCCTTGGAATTATGGACCTGATGTCTACTATCATGGCGTCAAACAAGACCTCCTGGCCATTAAGAATGAAGTTACTAAAGATATTGATCCTAACATCGATAATATTGTTTGGACTAGTAAAATTACCAGAAGAGAAAGGGTTTTCTCTTCTGAAATCTCCCCAAAGACTGTTGCCACTCCTTTGGTTACTACTGCTATTACTCCTGTTGCTACTCCTGCTGTAACTCCTGTTATTATTCCTTCTACTGAGTCAGCTGAGACTCGGGGCGAAGAAGTGTTGGTTGATCCTGCTTGGACGGAGGCACCTAAAGAAGCCATTCCTGAAGCCTCCAAGCGAGAAATGGAGGAAATTTTGAAAATCATACGGAAGAGTGATTACAATGTTGTGGAACAGTTGGGGAAAACCCCCTCAAAAATTTCAATGATGGCCTTATTACTATGCTCTGAAGCTCATGCCAAAGCTTTGGTGAAATTCCTGAAGTCTGCTCATGTGCCGCAAGAGACTTCTGTCGACCAATTTGAGAATTGTGTTGCCAATCTGATTGCTGATAATGGGCTCGATTTCTCTGATGCTGATTTGACATCTAAAGGAAGAAAGTATAATGATGCCCTGCATGTCTCTATTGAGTGCAGGGGCATTACACTGGCTCATGTTCTAGTTGATACGGGTTCGTCTCTAAATGTTCTACCCAAGGGAGCTTTAGACAGATTGGACTATGAAGGACTGACTTTGAAGCCCAGTAACATTATGGTGAGGGCCTTTGATGGTTCCAAGAGAATGGTACACGGGGAGGTGGACATTCCTATTAAATTTAGTTCCCAAACTTTTGGTTCCACTTTCTATGTGATGGATATTTGCCCGTCTTACTTCTGTTTGCTAGGACGTCCTTGGATTCATGGAGCCGGTGCTGTAACTTTCACTTTTCACCAGATGTTGAAGTATCCAGTTAATGGAAATATTTTTACAGTCCAAGATGAAGAAGAATATATGGTGAGCCATTTGAACTCTTTCAGATATGTTGAGATGGACGGAGAGTTCATTGAGACCCCCTGCCAGAATTTTGAAGAGGTTCCTTAAACAATTGAAGCTATTAAGACTGTTGCTAGTGTTCCAAAGATTACCAAACCCCTATTGAAGATGGATTCTCTAAAGGATGCCAAATCTGTAATTAAAGAGGGTGGGTGCACTATTTGGGGCCAACTACCTGGCATCCCCTATAAGTCTGACAAATTTGGTTTGTTTCACTTCAGGAGCTCAAAAAGCCATTCGTCGTGCTCGCTCCAGAGGACCACCATTACGCATCAGCAACCATGTAGTCAACGTTGTAGAAGAAACTGAAAGTGAATGTGACCTGGACAATTAGATCTTCCCTGCTACCAATGGTGGACTCAACAATTGGACGGCTAGAGACTTTGTTCCCGTTACTTTTATCCAGGAGTAATTGTCTTTTTGTTTTTTGGGATATGTAATGTTTGAACAATTTAAACTCTAAAAGCCTTGTGTCTTACCCGAGGCACAATGGTTTATTTGTGAGGGTTATCATTTCACTTTCATATGTCATAAATAAATCATTGGACGTTTTGCATACAAATTTTGCGCTCTTGGTTTATCTTTTCTGCTTTTTACTTTATCAAAATAGATATGCTCTCTTACACTCATCCACATATCAAATTGCAGATCCATATCCACTCTGGATCCATTTGATAACGGTTCTGCTATTACCAATTATGACTTTGAAAATCCAATCTTCCAAGATGAAGACGAAGGTGATGAAGGTTATGAAGTACTAGGAGAACTTGCTAGACTGTTACAACAGGAGGAAAGAGCAATACAATCTCATGAAGAGCCAGTCGAGACGGTAAACTTGGGTACTGAAGAGGATAAGAAAGAAGTCAAGATAGGTGCCAACTTGGAGCAGAGTGTCAAAGAGAGGTTAATCTAGATGTTACATGACTACATTGAGATCTTTGCCTGGTCATATGAAGACATGTCGGGGCTGGACATTGATATTGTGGTTCATTGTCTACCAACGAAAGAAAACTGTCCTCCAGTGAAGTAAAAGGTTTGTCGTGTGCGTCCTGAGATGTCAGAAAAGATCAAGGCTGAAGTTATGAAACAGTTTAACATTGGGTTCTTAGTTGTTACTTCTTATCCACAATGGGTTGAAAACATGGTACCAGTACCTAAAAAGGATGGTAAGGTGCACATGTGTGTAGATTATAGAGATTTGAATAGGGTGAGCCCCAAGGATGACTTTCCACTTCCACATATTGATGTTCTGGTTGACAATACTACACAACATAAGATATTTTCCTTCATGGACGGTTTCTCCGGGTATAATCAAATTAAAATGGCACCTGAAGATATGGAGAAAATGAATTTCGTCAGGCAGTGGGGCACTTTCTGCTACAAAGTTATGCCATTTGGGTTGAAGAACGTTGGGGTAACCTATCAGCGTGCTATGATAGCCTTGTTACACGATATGATCCATCACG